AAGCACCCAGCCTCAAGGAATTTTCCCTAAACTTCAGGAACCGACCTGATTTTCCCTAAGCCCCAAACTCAAAATCCTCAACCCCTAACCCCTCAGACGCAGATATACGCAGATACAGGCAACGGCAGGGCCTTGGCGACCAAAAGAAGAGGCCACGAGAGGCCTTCGCCTTCGTTGTTTGTGGTTTGGGGTCCCCAGTTTTAGGGTTTTATGTTTGGGGTCTTTAGGGATTTTGGGTTTGAGGGTTTCGGGTTTTAAAGTCTAATTGTTGTGGGTTTTGGGCTTCACGGCCTTTGTGAACTTAGTTTTCGGTTGAAGGAGACCAGTATTGAGGCTTACGGGGCCAGGGTGGATTTCGGGGTTCAGGGTTCAGGGTTTAGGGTCTTGAGGTTTAGGTTTGATGGTTTAGGAAGCCTAGGATTCCAGGTTTTAGGGTTTTGGGTTGGGGGCTTGGGCTCGGGTGACGTCTCAGTCTTGGCCGCAGCTGAGGGGGTTCAGGGTGTTTAGGACCCAGGGGCGCATGTCCTCGAGGACATGCAGCACCCACAAACTCAGCAGAAAATGCGAGGCCGAGCCACCGACAAGGTAGGCCCCAGGCGGGAATGTAATTTCTTCCTCCGCGCGCAAGCTTTAAGCTGCGGAATAAGCCTGCGCATCGTCAGAAACACTGGCATGATGCCAAGAGCATCTTTTCAGCTCCGAACCCCTCGTCAGGCTGGGCAAATTCACAAGGGAGCAATGGCCAGAACTTCCGCTCGCGCAGCTTGGCAACCCCGATTCTTTCACCCCCGAAACCTCGAACAATAGACAACCTGCCCCTAAACCTATAAATTATTATAAACTCATCGGGGCCGTTAGCCGATGTTCGCCATGGGGCGGCAGTGTAGCGATTCAGAGGTGGGGTTTATACGCGGGCTCTGCTTGAAGGATCATGGGCACTAAAAAAGCAGGGGCGAAAGCAGGGTTATACGGGCCCACAAGTAAAACGTTGTGACCAGCTGGAATAAGTCACCCTATACTTGCATCCCCCAGTTATTGCGCTATCCATGAACCTCCACGTACGGGACAAGATGCCGACTTGGCAGCAAACCTCAATTTTCTATGATCTTCTTTTCACTTGAATCCCAGCGCGTGGCTCGGCAATGGGATCCGCATCGATTAGCTGCTTGAGCAGCTGCATGTGAGCATCCGACATGTTTCAGGCCAAGCAGGGGAGCGTTCAGGGTTGATCGGATTCGGGGATTTGCGGTTTCGGCTCGGGGGTCGGCTTCGGATGGTTTAGGGCCGCAGCTGTTTGCCCCGCGAGAAGTTGAAGTGCGATGTCTGAGACCAACAGCATACAACAACACCCTTATGCCTGCAAAAGCCTCATGGGCAAGTCAGAAGCCCCTAAACCACTAAGCACATACAGAACAACAGAACAACCCACGCTCCGAAAGTCCTGAAGCCCTGAAGCCCCTAACCCCTGAACCCTTCACCCCAAACCCTGAACCCTAAACCCTAATTCCTAAACCCTAATTCCTATACCCTAATTCCTAAACCCTAATTCCTAAGCTCCTAAACCTCTACAGTTTGCCTCCCGTCCTTCCTCAGGCCGGCAGGGTTGGGCAGGGAGCTGGCACGGCGGAGGGCCTACGAGCTCCCGGGCAGAAACAGAGAGGGTTTAGGGTTTAGGGTTTAGGGTTTAGGGTTTAGGGTTTAGGGTTCAAGGGGGTTTGGGTTTTGAGCGTCGGGCTGTGAGTTCGGGTTTACACTTACTCAGCCCGTAGTTGAACTTTAAACTTTTTGGCAAGGGTTTCCTGTTTTATTAGAAGAAAGTTTGACCTTATTCCCCCTTGGTTATTGGAGAAGTAGGCACAAGGTGTGGGGATTCTGGGATGTAGCATTGGGGAAGAAGGACTCAGGGCCAGGAGTTGTCGGGCCTAGGGTTTGGATGGTGGTTTGGGAGGGTTTCGGGGCGGGGTGGGGGGGGGGGGGGGGGGGGGGGGGGGGGGCAGCCTCCCTCAACCCCACTAGCCAAACCCAAAATCCTAAACCCTAAACCCTATGAGTTTCGGATAAATGGTTCTCGGATCCCGGCAGATGTGAGCTGTGGTTGGAAGGTGTTGTTGGCAGTCGGGGATTTTCCCCCCCCCCCCCCAAAGATCTCTACACTTGGCCTCAGAACGGTCAGCTCTACTTGCCAACCTTGAGTGAATGAACAGAGGAGGTGTAAGCCATGAATTCGGTGCTCAATTTAGGCCTTTTGTGGTTTAGGTTGAGGGTTGAAGCGTCAAAGGGCTTGTTTAACCGGATATTCCTTGCAGTTGGGGGTGTTGGGTTTGTACCGGCAAGGGCCAAGGGCCGATTATTCAGGGCAACCCACATGTAAGGATCAGCCAGCCGTCCTCCGGCGCCGGACAGGAAGTTTCCGACGTCCGAGGCACTGGAAGCACCCTTCTCATCCCATCTTTTCCCTACACCCTAACTAGGACCTGCAGTGGGTTCTTCCTTTGTGTTCGTCATAGGTTGTCGTATAGACCCCATTTGAGCCCAAACAAACGAACAGGCAGCTGTGGTTTCTTGCCGGGGCGCCTTCGGGGCCAGCTTTTGTAGCGTCGGGCGCTGCGAATGCTGAAGCGCAGACCCCACCAAAAGCCTGGAAAGCAGCGAGCCCTACTAACCACTCATCTTTGTACTAACCTTGCTGGCCATACTAAGCCCAAACCCCCTGACCCTTCCAACCCTAAACCCTCAACCCCTAAAGCCCTAAACCCCAAACGCCAGGTCGCCTCGGAATTGACAGCTCCGCGTCCTGCGACGCTCTCTGGGTCCTCTAGCCCCCTGTTCTTCATACAGTTTAGGGTTTAAGGTTCCGGTTTAGGGGTTAAACTTTGTCATAGTTGGGTAACATTTTACATTTTTAAGGGTACTAAAACCCAATAAGGAATATAGATCTCAATTTGTACTACTATCCCAACCATGAACTAGTTTAGAGGCTTCCGGGTTTAGGGTTCCGGGTTTCGGGTGTAGGTGGCTGGGTTCGAGGCATTATCCTTCTTCATAGATTCGGTTCAAGCCCTCAGAAGCCTTATCCGAAAAAAGACCTCCAAGCCCGCCCTTTGGGGTGTGGCAGCTCTTGTGAGGCACGCGAACCCTACAGAGAAAGCGCCACCCGGTAGCCCTATGCCCTATGTCCACCCCAGACCAAACGTAAGGATCAGCCAGCCGCCCTCCGGCGGCTGATAGAAAGCCGCCACAGCAGGCCCAGGCGTCGATGGGATGTTAAATGCAGCGTTTCCAACATTGAAGGTCCGGGCGTAGCTCAGAAGAAAGTTGCAAGCGCCACTCCGGAAGAGAAGGTTATGGCTAGTTATGACCAGTTAAGCTGCTCAAGCTACAGTATTCCCTGCTTATTTTAAGGCACCGTACTTACATCCTAAGTGAACCCAAGTTACAACACCCTCGTGAGCCTTGAAGTATGGGGTTTTATGGGCTTTTTAGGGTAAAGTAAGGTTTACTGGGTTGCGAGGGTGTATAGGGGTTTCATGAGAGGGTTCATAGGGTTTAAGTGTACAGGGTTTTGGGGTTTACTGTTTCAGGGCTCCTCCACCGAATTGTAAGCCTCCTCGAAGAACCCTCAACCATAAACCCTAAACCCTAAACCCTAAACCCTAAACCCTAAACCCTAAACCCTAAACCCTAAACCCTAAACCCTACCCCTAAACCCGAAACCCTTAACCCTTAAATTCTTTGAGAGGCCGCGGCGGAGTCCTTGACCGTTCCCAACCCCGCGAAGCTCTCGGGGTTCTCCGGCTCCCCAGCTGGCGCTTAAGGTTTAGGGTTTAGGGTTTAGGGTTTAGGGTTTAGGGTTTAGGGTTTAGGGTTTGGGGTTTAGGGTTTAGGGTTTCGGGTTTCGGGTTTCGGGTTTAGGGTTTGAGGAAGGGTACAGAGGCTTATGGGTTCAAGGGTTTAGGGAATCTTGGGCTCATGGGTTCTCAGAACATATTTCAGGGACTACCGGTATGTAGAGGGCTTCTACAGGGTGGTTGGATCCAGCCCAGGGGCGTAGAGGAGAGCCTTATAGTATGGGAAGTTGGGGAGGGACAAGAGAGATTATTGGAGTGTGGTCGTAGGGTTAGCTTAGGGTGGTGGGGGGGTGGGGGATCCGTACGCCTCATCCCTTAGCCCACCCACAAGTAACCCGAAACCTAGACTGCAACAACACCAGGTTTCAACGTGGTGTTGTTCAATTCGGAAACCGCTGAGAGGAAGTTATGGGTCCAATCTGGAACCATCTTGGGGTTTTCGAGTGTAGGGAACTATCGCAAGATCAAGAACTCTTTAACCCTGAAGCTCAATCTGTTTCAGTTAGGGTTCGGTGTTGTTGCAGCTCAGGGGATCGAGTCGAAGTTTGGGGGGGCTTTGGGTGTGCAGTTTCCCTACGCTAGAAAAAACCGAAGATGCAGCCGATGTGTTGCGAGAGCCCATGCTGGGTCGGTCATAGGACTCTTGCCAGTTGCCATCTTCACACATGCGCTGGGCCCTGAACCCTGCAAGCCCAAACCGGCCAAACCTGACACCCCGAATCCCAGAACATCTCAAAACAGATGTAATGTAATATTAGTATGATATAATGTTTTACAATTTGATATTTGTTTTTATACACGTAATATGGTATAATCTACTATGGTATAGTCTATAAACGTGCAAGTACACTGCCGCAATGTTGACATAGTTGACCCAATGGATGCAAGGTGACACCAAGACACCAAGAGCCAGACTGCCTCTTGGCCAGGTTGTCAGCTCCTGTGTGCCTGGCCGGCTTGTGTCTTTCGTACTGATCTTCGGGAATAGACTTTCGATCGCGCAACGACCGAGTTTTGGGGATGTTAGACGATTGGGTTGCTGAGTCTCGGCTGTGTCTATCGCGGTATGCCGATGCCACGTACTCGAAACCTCGAACTCCAGTCCTCAAAGGCATGTCAGCCACTCGGATGCTCCAAGCTGGTAGTTGCAGCATGGACTGGCTCGTCCTAAGCCTCCAGCCTTCGCAACTATCAAGCTTTCAAGGCCAGAACAAAAGCCTTGTATCTCGCACTTTTAAGCGTTAGGGTTTGATCGAACTCTAAGCCCCATATGAGCCCTGAACCCTCCAACTGGAGAGCCTTTCAGAGTGTCTCAGACACTCTCCACCAACTCTGGGGTTGAACAGCTGGGCTTTAGGGCTTAGGGTCCAAAACTGAAAGCGCTCCTCGAACAACTCGAAGAAGAGTTTACCAGAAGGCTCTAAGGTAGTTCCGTTCTGGGTTAGGTATAGGGGATCCTAGTATACTACCCAAAAAAGGTACTACATCAGAGCCTTTAGGTGGCTGCCCAGGAATGAGTTTCTCATTGTGCACGTGGGACGCAACCTGAACAAAGGCGCCGGCATGGGCCTTCCGGTTCTTCTGCAGAGTCGGCGCTCCACAGTGGTGAACTCTTCGTAGCAACCAATGTAGGGCACAACCAAGAGTCCTAAACGGTATTTCGCAGCAACTTTGCGACTTCCGTACTATCCTGTGCACAACACGACCTCTGCTGATGCCTGCATAGCACCTTTTCTGCGAACCCGAAAACGCCTTGCTTCATAAAGGGCTTGGAAGAACAGGTGAGAAACCCAAAATCCTAAATTCTCTGAAATGTGGCGCTTTTTCTTTAGGGCTAAGTCGTTGCCGCATTGCGTGAACGCAGCTGTAGACAAGATGCGGTTTGCAAGCCCTAAACCCTCGACCCTAAACACCCGAAAGCCTAAACGGCTTCAGCGTTCTACATCCCAAACCCTATCAACAAACTTAGCAAGTCCTGTCAGAAGTCTCGCTTAGAAAGCTGAGGGTTTCGAAGCCAAGCGTTGCCTGGAGTAGCTACGTCTTGGGTCTTGGGGTGTTACCAGCTTTAAGACCCTAAAAACCGTAAGCCTCAAGCCACATGCACGGATAAGCCCTAAACCCGAAACCCTAAACCCTAAACCCGAAACCCTAAGCCCGAAACCCTAAACCCTAAACCCTACAGTCGACCTGAGTCCTGGCCGACACATCGAGAGGCGATCTCGACTTTCAGACGGAGGCAGTGAAGGGGGGACCGTGGCAGCCCCCTGACCGGTTCAGAACCAAAGTTGCCAGCACCGGTTGGCTCTTGTTGTGATATGTGTTTTGAGCATTTGAGAGAGCGCAAAGTAGCCCAGACCAGAAACCCTTCCTGCGCATGAGTCAGAGCACCAGCACCCATTCTGACCCTTCTGAGTAAAGTCAAATTGGCTGCGCTATTTCAGGTGACTGTTGAAGGTGCAGACCTGGTCCCTGTTTAAAGTCAACTGGTTCCCGAAATCCGGCATGTTTCTTCGATGATTTCGGGCTCTCCGGAGGATGCTTTGCTCTCTTGGCTTTCAAGCCGGGCCTTGTGACTTCAAAAGGCCGGCCTCGTGATTTTAAAGGCCTCATCCACTCCAACCGATCCGAAACCATTTATTTCGACAAGTTGGTTTCGTTCAATCCGACAAAGGGGTGGTCCAGGAGCCCCCCTCGGCCCGGAACAACGACACTGATTCGGGACCCTGTTTAATGTCGAGGCACCAGCTTAGAGGCTCCGAATTTGGAATATGGATCCCTTTTAAACTCGCATAAACTCATCCCTTTTTAAACTCATATGGATCCCTTTAGAGTTCATACAAACTCATCCCTTTCAAATTCACATGTATCCTTTTGAAGTCATATGGATTCCTCTTTAAATTCATGTAAACTCATCCCTTTCACATTCATATGGACCCCTTTTAAAATTCATGTAAACTCATCCCTTTTCAATTCATATGGACCACTTTTTAAATTTATGAAAGCTCATCCTTTTTGAAATTCAGAAGGAGCCATTTTAAATTCAGATACACTCATCCGGATCACATTTACATGTATATAAACTCCTCCCTAGGAAAATCATATAAACTCACGGGGCCTTTTCCACGTGGACAAAAACAGCTTCGACTGTTCTGAGGGCATTATCGCCAGAATGGTTAAACAACTCCAAATTCAACATTACTTATTTCTGTCAAGAGCATATAACCGCATTATGTAAGGTAACTTTTCAACTTACGTTCTTCAGCAGCAACCTAGGAGCTTCCAGGATAATCTCTCGTACCAGCAAGCCTGTCCGAGACGAACTGGGTTTAGGGTTTAGGGTTTTGCTTGAGGGTCCCGACAGCCAAAGGAATACCTTCGTGTCGACACTGGTCCTGCGGTCGATCGATGGCAAGTATGGACGCTCGCCTGCCCCCATGGCAACCACGCGAGCCATGAAACCTCAGAGCGTTTGTAGGGTTTTAAAAGGTTTCAAGGGTTGTCTAGTAGTCCAAGCTTTAGCGCGCGAACCCAGTTTACAAGTCCTAAATCCAAGCTTTAACTAGAGTAGCATTTGTTGGATACCCTATAATGACAGTTGGGAATGTGTCTTAAATATTGGGTTTACTGCTGTTGGTAATGTAAGGGTATGGGATGCTTTGGGCAAACCCTTCCCTGAAGCAACCCAAGTGCCTATGAGATATCCGACTTCAGGACTAGGGGGGTCTAGGGATTGTGTTTAGGGTTTAGGGTTTAGGGTTTAGGGTTTAGGGTCCAGGGTTTGTTTTCTTTCGGGCATGCTGCTCTTCGTGCCTGTAGGCCCTCTGCCCGAAACCGTCGCGCCTGCTTTTCGCAACTTAGGCGAGGGCATGCGCTTCACTGGTGACGCCTGCTCCAACAAGCAGGACTCTCTTGCCTATAGAAAACCCCTAGACCTTTCCAATGAGTCCTAATTGCATCCTAACTCCATATCCCAAGCCCGCTTCAGAAGTATCCTTGGAGATGAAGAAATATGACTCAAGGGGGGGGAAAGAGGGCAAGCCTCACCTGAACTTCAAGCGTTGGCCAGTAGTCCCCATTTTCTCAAGGCCTCGGCTTTGAAATCCTTGCCTTCTTCTCGAGGATGCCGAGCATTCCGCGAGCTTGCAAGCACTACTGTTCTTTCAGCTCATGAAGCCAGACACCAACAGCATCCCAGAAGCAAGTGAAGTTGTTGCGCGTACATGTGTGTGTGTGCGCGTGGGCGAAGCAGTCTTGTTCCAAGGGCTCAAACTCTCTACTCCCCTTCGAAGGACGAACTGGAAGGCTTTGATTTGTCAAAGAGTCAAAGTATTAATTTCTCTCACACACACACACAGACACAAACACACACGCTGGGAGTTCCCAAGCCTATAAAACACATCAAAACCCCAAACACCCTTCATCCTCAACCCTGTTGAAAAAATCTTATTCGGTAAGGGAGGTGCGACGTGCAGTAGTGTCTCTTCAGGTCATAGACCTTCCCTTCCCAGTCTTTCTGTGTTTTTTTGGTCCATTCAGCTGCTCGCACTAAGGGGAACAACCCCAACCCTCAACCCTAAGCCCTAAACCAGAAACCCTAGTCAGCCAGGCAAAAAGAGCCCCCCCCCCCCGACCCCGGGTGTTATAACCGCATGCCAAGGTAATTTGCTCCTCATGTGAACTGTAGGCAGGGCTGCCAAGTTAAGACAAGTGTGGCTCCCAACAACTATAGCCTCAAAAGGCACTTCCACGACGCCCTTGGCGCTGCCGGCGCCCCTGCCGGCGCCTGGGCCGCCGGTGGCGGCGACCCAGGCGCCGACGGCTGCGAAGGTGGCGAACCCCAAGGCAAGCTTGGGGTTGAAGGTGGTTTAGGGTTTAGGGATGAGGGTTTAGGGTTTAGGGTTTAGGGATAGGGTTTAGGGTTTAATTAGGGTTTAAGGTTTAGGGTTGGGGTTTAGGATTTAGGGCTTCGGGTTTAGGGTGCAGGCGTAGGGACTCTGGTTTGGGGCTTGGGGCTTCAGATGTTAACCTCGATCTCCCGGTAGAATTGCTGGCGTGGAAAGACTGAACTGAGGGTTGCGGGTTTGGGGTTTCGGTTTCGGGTTTGGGAGAAGTGGGCTTTGGGCTTTGGGCTTTGGGCGTGATCTGATGTTTGCGATCAGGTGAGTGAGCAAAAGTCCGATTCCAGAGCAGCAAGGGCTAAAAACCTGATGGGGCTTGGGCTCCCTGATAGGGACTCGGGAGCGAGTTGGTCCGTTCAAAGATCGGCCACCCAAAGGCCCATAAACCCGAAATTCAGAGCCTGCCCTCAGGGAACCCTCCAGGAGATCATCATGCGGCTTGGACATCTTTGGTCGGCTGCTCTGTTGGGTTCAGTTTTGAGTGCTGCGTTTCTTCGCAGTCCGGCACAGGCAGCTGGTGGGGGAATGAAAAGAAGTACGGCACGCCCTTTATACACCAGGACCCAGAGCAGGCCCTTATTCTCTTTTTTTCGGCTCTAGGTTCACTCACTTATCAGCCAATGTAAACCAAACAGGGTACCCTTTTCATTCTTAGGTTGCTCTTGAACTTGCGGGGAGGGTGTGGAGCGAAGATTGGGTGCATAAGTTGCAAACCTCGGCCTCTGAAGCCCTCATCCTGCAAAGCCGAGGAAGAAGACGAGAAGAAACAATGCGAACGTGCTTTTGCTGGATCAGCTATAAACTCAGATATGGGGGTTTACGATTAAAGGGACCCCTTAACACAGACCCCAAATAACAGGATTCCCTTATAACCTTATAAGGACCCCAATAAGGTACCTCTGCACTCGGAAGCCCCCAAATTCCTGCCCAAGGTTTGACAGCCCCAGAACCCTTGCCCACGAACACCTGAGCCGTAGACCCAGAGCTTCAGCTTGCAACAAGGTGGCCTGAGTCTAAGCTAGGTGAAGCGCGGCTACTGCAGCATCCGACCTCCTATGAACGTTCCATAGACCCGTGTATCCCAAAGGCGAAGCCGGATGTTTTGGGAAGTTTTCGTAAGGCAAACTTTGGTTGCCATATGTGCAAAGAGTCATCTTAAAGCAGACAACTATGCTGCTCACAGGGCTTCTAAGACCATCTCAGAAACGTCTGATTCCATTGCATAAACCTGTGTGGACCTTGATCATCAACGCCCCAAAATTCTTCTCATCTCGCAAAAAGGCGTAAGAGCCAGAACGCGCAGACACAGACGCACAGACGCACAGACGCACATACGCACATACGCACACCTGCACACACACACACACACAGAGACGCAGACACATGCACAGTCATAGCCATAGTCATCGTCATCGTCTCAGTCATCGTCATAGTCATAGTCAAAATTAGTCATAGTCATAGTCATAGTGGCACACACACACACACACACCCACGCACCCACGCATGCACGAAACGAACAAGCAAGCAAGCAAGCGAGCGAGCGAGCGAGCGAACGAACAACCACACCAGCAGACAAGCAAACAAGCAAGCAAGCAAGCAACCTGTCAAGAAGCAAGCAACCAAACAACCATAAAAAGAAGCAACCACACAAAAACAAACAAGCAAGCAAGCGAACAGGAGCGATCGGACAGCCCAAGCAAACAAGCGAAAACAAACAAGCAGACGAGCAACAGACCAAGCAAGCAAAAACATGTCTACACACTCTCTCTCTCTCTCTCTCCCTCGCACTCGCACTCGCACCGACACCCAAAATACCGACACCGCCCCCGAAGAGGACTTCAGCTACACGCCCTTGCCGTTGGACGGCCCAGGGCCCTACTTCGTCCGGTTGCACCTGTGTGCATTGATCACAGGAGGCGCACTTGTAGGGTTCATCCGCGCCCTTAGGTTTCGGAGAGCTTGGAGGGCTATGCAGGGTGTTAGAGGGGTTTTAAATTCGCACTCAACCCAAGGCCCTCAACCTTGAGCGCAGAGGCCTAGAGGGTTCGCCATAAGGCCCTAAACTCTGCATCTCAGACACCTCTACCCGGCCCACAACCCAACAGCCTCAGCTCTAGTCAGTACTCTCAACCCTGAAAGGCCTGAAGCCATAAACCTCAAAACCTTAAACCTTAACCCATAAACCATAAACCTTAAACCATAAACCTTAAACCTTAAACCTTAAAGGTGAGGCGCAGAGTTTCGACAGCAAGGGCTTCCCTTGCAAGACCAAGAAGGCCATCAAGGACCGGCCTCAGTTTTGACAAGTGTATAGTACCCTAACCCCTAAACCCCTAAACCTTAAACCCAAAACCCTAAACCCTAAACCTAATAGGCAGGCCGAAGCCCTTTACAGTGTAGGGTTTGGCCTTTGATAAGGCTCTGTTGGCCGCAGACCCCCCAAACAGCGCAAGACCATCACTTCAAGCCTGAGAGATTCTCTTAAGAACTCCTCTTCAGCGAATTTGCTTTCGGTGTATCGGTTGGGGGGGGGAAGAAGTGTGACAGCGGTGAAAGCCGCAACCTCACAATATCCAGGTATGGAGTTTTCGGTTTAGGGTCAGACAGGGTTCCTGGGCTCCCGTCGGGGTGGAGGGCCGGCTTGTTTGGGCAACTCCTGTTGTTGCAATTGGCGCCGCGTCAATCTTCTCCCAATCCCGCGACTTCACCCCTAAACCCTAAGCTTTAAACCCTAAACCCTAAACCCTAAACTCTAAACCCTAAACCCTAAGCCCTAAAAAGCCTATATAAGCCTTAAACCCTAAACCTTAAAATGCTGGCCAGGAGGCGGAGGAAGACGCAGCTTCTCAGGCCCTGAGATGTCCAGGGTACGGGGGAGGTTTAGAGCCCTACGAGTGTTGGCCTAAGAACGACCCAAACAATAAGACATGGTCTTCCTTATAAGGGAATACAGGGATTCTTCTCTTTCATTTAGTAGCCAAAGCCCAAACGCTCAGGGCTTAGCTATCAGCAGTCGCGTCACAGTCTGTGCAGAGACTCCCAAGATTGCGAAAATACTCCCCCTTTCATTCAAGGAGTATTCCCGAAATCAGATCAGGGGTTCTTTTCCCTAGATTATGCCCCCCCCCCCCCCCATGTCAACTTCCCCTTTTTTCCACTAAGAACCCTGAATACTGCACCACAAATGGCCCAAATCTAGCATGGCAGCATTTTGTTCGAGATTCCTTGTGTGCTTGGCATTTTGTTGTGAAGGTTTGTGGCTTGGTTGGGACTGGCTTGTTTGGGTAGGGTCCGATGGGCTGTTGCTGGACAAACCATTGTGTTGGTCGGGCTTGCAAGGGGCCACGAAATTGCACATTTTTAGAAGCCGGTTCTTGAACGCCCTAATCTGGGGCCCGGGGTCCGATTTGTAGACGAAGTTTCGCTAGGAAATCGTGAGCTGGGTAGGGCAACAGGTTCACACTTACCCCGAAACCCAGAAAAAAACAACAACAAAACCCTGACCTCCCCCCCCCCTCTAAACCCTAAACCCTAAACCCTAAACCCTAAACCCTAAACCCTAAACCCTAAACCCTAAGCCCTAAACCTCTCACTGACTTTGAGATTGCCGATGCAGGCCCTGGACTTCCTCCAAGGCCTGGGGCAGAAAGAGGCGGATTTCTGGCAGTTCTCAGAAACTAGGTAGGCCCTTGGGATATTTTCGGTTTTAGGGTTTAGGGTTTAGGGTTTAGGGTTTAGGATGTAGGGTTTTAGGGCTTCTTTAGGGCTGCAGGGCTTTAGGGTTCCAGGGTTCTAGGATTCCAGGGCTTCAGGGATTTAGGGCTTTAGGGTTTCAGGTCTTTGGTGTGCTAGGGTTTTTGGTTGTAGGGTGTGTTGGGTTTAGGCTAGGCTTCAGGTTTACGGTTTAGGGCTCGGGTCCCTCCGAAAGCTGTTTCGGTGATATTTAGCGACTGCCACACTCAGTGCAGAAAGATCTTGCGAGCCCAAGAAGTGTCACACGAGCAAGCCTGTCAGCAAGATCGCAGTAGACCGTGAAGCTAGGACAGGACACTTTTGCCCAGCGTTGCTAGAGAACTATTTGACAATATAGTGTACCGGGTAGTGCCGCCCCAGCCAAAATGATCCTTGAGGCCAGGAACCCTAAACCCTAAACCTAAACCCTAAACCTTAAACCCTAAACCCTCAACCCTCAACCCTAAACCCTAAACCCTCAACCCTCAACCCTATACCCTAAACCCTCAACCCTCAACCCTAAACCCGAAACCCTAAACCCCAATGCCAGGCTTTGCTGGCGCTTCCGGCACCTGCCATCCGGCCTCCTCGGCATGTTGTTCTTGCCCTCACCCGGCGCTTTAGGGTTTAGGGTTTAGGGTTTCGGGTTTAGGGTTTAGGGTTTAGGGTTTAGTGTTGTTTGGCGCTCCAGGGGTGCTGCGTTCTTGCGAACCATGGGCCCCTTAGTATGTTCCCTTACCCTTGCCTATAGGGATCCGAAGTATGGGCCCTTATAAAGTATAAGGGTTTGGGGCTGAGGGGTTTCGGGCCTACAGGTTTTTCAGGGTTTGTGAGGTGGGTCTGAGGGTTTGGGGGGGTTCAAGCGGCTTTGGAGCACAGGTTCCTTTTTCATGGGTGAGATTAGGAGGATGCCTGCAACTTCTGCCGTCCTTGCATGGGACTCGGGTCTAGGGTAGGTGTTACGCACACTTGTGGCAGGCTGCAGTCACGCCATGCATACACATGCCTAAGGTAGGTGTCAGGGGGTGGTTGGTGTTTGGGTGGAAAGGTGGTCAGGGTTTGGATTCGCAACAGTGGTGCCAAGTACTAACTAGTAGGGTGAGGGCTACAGCCAGTTCTAACCTATTGCTACCCTCCAAATAACTGAAACTACCAGTGACCCCGAACCCTGAAAACGTCTAACCCGTCGCAGACAGTGCCAGTGCGTACCAGCGCCTTAGAAAGGATTGGCTGACATGCGCACTTTGTGATGACTGGCTAAAACCTTACCGGGTTTGGGGTGTAGTTTTGAGGGGTTGGGGTCTTCTAAGCGTGTGCATACAAACCCCATGAGCCTTCAAGTATAGGAGCTAGAATTCGGAGATCTTAGGGCCATGTTGGGGCCCATTTTCGACATGAAATCAGTATAGAAAGAACGCCCTTAGGGTTGAGGGCTTGGGGTTTACCATGCAGGCTTGTGGGGCGTTCAGGGCGGCTGAAATTTAGGGATCTGGTGTTGAAAGTTTCGGGACAGTTCCCCGTTCCAACGTAGCATGAGACATTTTGAGAAGAGGTGTTTCTGAAACTGCCACACCAAAGAAAATCAAAGCCCATCATTCCTGCTTCTGTTTGAATCTGCAAACAGGACAGAGGTATCAACTGAAGCCGAGACGCAGGCGTTCCGATTGCATGCTTACAGGTTAAGTGACTGCTTTCACGGGGTACCGCATACGCAGCATAGATAAAGCGTGAATCACCGCCGACAGAAGGTGCTTCGCTGGTCTACTTCAGGGGTGAATGTTCGCAACTCAACTGGGCCATTGTTGACTATGTTTAAGAGTCAGGGTGCAAGGGAACTCTGGGTTCAGGTTCGTGAGAACTCTCTGTCAAATAAGGCAAACCCACGAAATCAAGAATCTTGACAAAGGCCCGGAGGAGGATCGTACAGCGCCCCCAAATTGCCAAGCGACAACGCGAACTCCCAATTCCCGAGGCCACAACCTCTGCCGGGCAACCTGAAGCCATCATAAGCCATCAACATCAGCTTGACGCTCAAAGTTGAAAACTGAAACAGAACATGCGGGATTTTACCATCCAAGCTTCTTTATTCTTTCGACAGACGTAAGGAAAGATTGCATGGGGTTCCATAAGCAAAGTTTCCCTCCTGTGGGTGTGTCTCGAGATTCAGGCTAGGATGCTGTCCCTCATCGTCTCATCGTCTCGGCATTCAGGGGTCGGGTTGTATTTGGTCGGGGCCGGGGCCGGGGGGGGGGGGGGGGCGACCTGTCAAAAAACACTTGCTGCCCACTGACTCAGGATTCTGCAGGGGTTTGTTGAGGGTCCAGGCTCGGAATTTCCGTGAATCTAAACGGTTAAGGGGTTTCACAACCCGAGTCTTCCACCATATTGCAGAGCTCCCGCATGAAAAACAACCCTGTCTTATTATGACATTTTCGCTGTCGCCCTAACCCAGACACAGAGAGAGAGAGAGAGGAAACAATAGTGAGTTTTTTTTTTTTTTTTTGCGTGCTTCTGTGCAGGAGAAAGGAGTTGAGGACACGGCGGAAGAAGGTGCCAACTTACAGGTCGAGGAGGCAGGAAGTGGGGTTCAGGGTTCTATTAGGAGCTTGGGATTTCGGATTTTGGGGCTTAAGGCAATGACTGCCTAACTCTACATCCCAGCACCATAAAGGAACAATTGGGGGTGTTGGGGTGTTGCGCCTGTGGGGCTTAGTGAATCTAGGACTACATGGCTTGCGGTATAGTGCAGAACTGGCCCCAAGCATTGGGTGCAACCCCAAGTGGGAGCAGCGTAACCCTTCCAAGTAATCAGCCGAAACCAGGGAGTCTGAACTAGGGAGTATATCCTTCAAGCCTTAAAGTATATTAGTATGTTGGTATATTAGTGTATTCGTGTTTCGTATACTGATATTTTGGTTTTCTCTGTACATTGGTTTATTAGTATATTTTGAATTATGATATTAGTATGTTGGTAGATTGGTATATTCGTACCTTAATTAGTATATTGGTATATTAGTATGTATTGCTATATTTCACTTTTCATAGTATTCCATATTATCAGCCTCAAAGCACTAGAGGGGTCTTATGACCTGGAGATATACGTCTTCCAGAGGTATGGGAGGGGTCTTGGGCTCTCTGGGAAGGCTATGTACACTGGCGTGTTTCTGGACAGCCAGAGCGGAGAAACCCTCGTCAAGTTCTGCGACGCTTGAATCATCCTGGTGCATTTCTTGTTTGCGTAGTCGGCTAGTTGCGGCTACTTTGGTCTGTTTCAAGGCTGGTTGTGCTGCAGAGTGCACCCTATGTGCTGCCAGTGCCATATAGGTGTCAAGGAGGTTCATGGGTACTCATAAGTAGGGTTATAAGTCGCCTCGCGCGCTCGAGCTAGCAAGCTTGACAACACACAGTACCTGGGGAATGATGAGAAGCAACATCTTCTGCCCGGGGAGGGTGTAGTGCTTCAGGTTCAACTACCTGAACCCCCAAAGCAACTCACGTTGCCTACATAACTTTGTGGTGGAGGTTCTAGGCCACCCTTCTGGACAATATGGGTATCTAGAGGACCCGGGTAGTGATTCTTACGACGAAGCCCCAAACCCTAAACTCCCCTTAAAACCCGTACTGAAGCTCAAGACCTGAACCTGAACTTCTATGGCTCTGGGGTGTCCGTTGTGATGGCACAAGCTCAGGCGAGCTCCGTCCCAGGCGGTATACCGCCAGAGTGGGTGCAGTTTTGTGACCACATGACGCCGCCCGGGCACTGTTTGAAGGGGTCTTTGCGGGTTGAGGGTGTAGGACAGAGCTAGAGCGGCCGCATTTGTCGAAGGGATCGTGCCATGAACAGCACTACTTTTGAGTCCGGAGGGGAAATGGCCGGAGAGCACGTAGCGGAGTCGATTGCAGTGCTCGCGAGTCTGTTTCTTCAGCTGTGGGGCCCGGAGTCGCGAGAGCCGTGCTTTCTGGGGTTCCGGAGCTGAATTTTACTAGGTGGGACTTTACTACAACTTTATCACTTTATGAGTTTAGGGTTCCTCTCATTTCATATTAAGGGAGCTAAAAGTTAAACTTTTATTGAGGGGGTTAAAGAGCAACCAAGTTTACATGTACCACAGGTGCAGCTACAATGCCGACACTACATACAGATGGTTCGTGTTCTTGTCTATCTCCAAGTCTGCAGGACTTTGTTCAAAGGCATGTGCATAAGCCATTGGGCATGAAGTGGCAGTTGCCCTTGCTGCCATTGCTACCGATAACTCTTGTAGCTCTCTTTCTGATTAAGTAGTGGCCCTAAACCCTAAATATCCCTAAGTCCTAAACCCTGAACCCCCAAACCCTAAAGTATTCTGAAGCTTTGTCTGACGAAGGATCTGCCTTGGGTCCTTGTCCAACCCCAAGACGCAATGGGACTGCCCCGTCCCGGACTCTCTGGCTCCAAAGAGATGGGGATGTTGGGCATGTTATATTGGTCTGGGGTCTTGTGTGTAGGGTCTGCATCCCTGACATGTTGAGGATCAGTGTCGAGGTGCAGAGGAGGTCTAGCTGTTCTCTCTCTCCTTCGCTAGACAATGAAGTCTAAGGGCCCCCTTGAGGGTCAGGACTCGGTTGGGCAGTATTTTGTTGAGGCGTGTGGTGGTGTTTTGATTCTTTGGGATGGATTTTGTCATGGCTCGAATAGAATAGCCGTGGGCAGACGGAAAAGTCAACCTACAACCGAGCCACAAAATAGAGAACCCTTGGAACACCTTCGGCCTAACCTTACTGTTGGCTAATAGGGAATGGGGGAATGAGATACCCTAAATGATCCCTTAAAGGGTTTATACATATATATATATATAGGTCCCCATAAACTCCGTTAAAGGGTATATATATAAATATATCCCGAATTCCCCCATTCCCTGCTAACCAACAGTAAGTAGCCCGAGTTCCAAACCATTTGCCAAGGACACGCTCAAAGAGGAGCTCGCGCAGTATTCCGAGGGCCAGGAGCCCCTAAACCCTAAAGCCTAAACCCTGAACCCTGAACCCTAAACCCCAAACCCCAAACCCCAAGCCCTAGCCTTAAACCCTAAGCCCTAAGCCCTAAACCCTGAATCCCAAACCCCTTCCTCTTTCGAGCTCGGCAGCCAAACGAAACAGACTTCCCTAGACCAAACAAAGCTCGACATGAAGTAGGGTTTATGTTACTGTTTTTGGCGAGTGTATAATTATCAGGTTCCTTTTTAAAATTGGTGAGTGTGTATATTGGGTGTCCTGTTGGGGATACCAGGAATATTAACCTTACTTGATATTGGATTTCCGAAAGTAGGGGTACCTTTTTTGGGTCCTTATTGGAAGGGAATATAGCTATTTGGCATCCATCTTGCGGGTCCCCTATTTTTGTAAACCCTCATATAAGCAGCCGATGAGCTGTGAAGAAACAGTCTCTGAAACTCCGACCTCCTTTTTCGAGAGCAAGAACAAAGTTTAGGGTTCTTGGGGTTTAGGGTTAAGGGTTTAGTATTTAGGGAGCCAGGAGATTGAGTTGGAGGTGGTTTCAGTGGGCCGCGATGAGCGTGCGCTGGCTGTTGGAGTGGTTGGCTGCAGCACTTGCAACAGACATCCGCACGTCACGGCACCTCGGCCTGATATCTTGAATCCCAAATGCCAATCCCTCACATGTGCCTTCATGACTAACGCGTCCATGTACCGAAAAACGCTTGCTTGGCCTTGGGGGCCAAGTCTACACTAGGTACCTGGAAATCCTGAACATGTTCAGGGTTGGGAACGCGACTTTTGTTGTTTCTGCTCGTCTGTCGTAGCCAGTTCCCGGTTTTGGGATTAGGTGTGTTATCAGAGGCAAACGAGAGGCACCCGCCCAAAGGGTGATCGCGCGAACGTTGGACAAAGTTCGCTTAGGCCCGCAGTTTGAAACATTCTCTGGCGCGAACAGCTCTGCCACATAGAGAGATCGATGACTCCCCTTGTGGAGGGGGGGGCGGGGAAGTTCGGGAGGGGTAGAACTTGCGATTGGAGCGGCTCGGGTAGAAACCTCTCCCCCCACAGCCAAACTCTGCCCTGAGCCGTCGAATTCTGATCCTGTAAGTTCACATCACCTTAAGTAGGGGGTAGCTATGGTTATATGTTATAACCCTTATTAGGGTACGTAGAACACCACTGCGAAGTACCCATGAACCTCCGAGTAAGCCTAACACCAAGCGTAAGCTCTGACTCCCTAGAAGGCCCCCTCGAGCATCGCCCCCGGAATGATTTGGTCTCAAACCTTTAGGGACTCAACAGCTACAAATCCAACCAAGCCCGAAACCGACAAACCCCCAAACCTAAGACCCTAACCCCTTAAACTAAACCCTAGACCCTGAATCCTGGGCCCTAAGCCCTAAACCCTAAACCCCAAACCCTATATGCACAAATACACCCCCCCCCCCCCCCCCCCAACGCCCTGAAACCCCGAAGCTCTGACACCCAGGTGGCCACTGCACCGGGAGCTCCACCGAGCATGAGCAACTGGGCGGAGGGTTAGGGTTTAGGGGGTTTGGGGTTTGGGTTTAGGGTTTAGGGTTTTCTTTGCTGGACAGGCCCTTGGAGTATGTCATGTGTACCTGTATTGGGGTTTAGGGTTGACGGTTTGGGTTTGGCAGGGTATGCGGGTTCGGGGTTTTGTGGTTCAGGGCTGGCGGTCACAACCCCCCCTCCCCCCCCTCCCGACTGAAAGGTGCATTGGGTCGGGGTTATCTTGCGGGTTTGTACGAAACAAGCCAAAAAATCCTAAATCCTCAGCCCTCAGAAAACTCTCTCAGTTGAATCACCGGGAATCTCAGCTTCTGGTCACTTTGATTTGCCAGGCAACTGCCTCAATGAATGGGTCATGATGCTCGGCTGAGGGAACAGCAATTGTTTGTTCTTTCCCTGCCTTTGTCTAGCAAGATTTGATCAGTTGCCAATTCGCTGAGTGCGCAAGCACGTCGGGCTGCGCGTTTTTGAGTTTAGCAAAGAGGGTCTAGTCTCCTCGGCGTACTGCCAGTGCCGTCAGTAGCCCGCAACTCTGGAGCCTGCCTTCCCGCTGTCTCCTACCATTGCCAGGCTCCCCGCAGAGGAACGGTTCAAACTGACAGGCACGCTGCAACAGCACCTCGGCACTTGTTTTCGATGGGCTTTGGGAATGAGGCCCCTCGGCTTGTGCATGTACAAGGATATATTGTCATCCAGCAGCTCTTGCCATACTTGCACCCGAAACTTTCGCGCTGGTGGCAGCTACAACTACCCTCGCCGCGAGTTTGTAGAGAAGGCGTACCAAATGTAGAGAGCCCACCATCAGCCACCGGTTTGGTTCCCTTACCCGCCCAAATTGTCCTCCTTTTTTCTAGTAACTCTGGGTCTTGAACCCCCTAAAGCCTAAACGCCCTCTCAGAAACGTGGTGTGCTTTCCTTGTGTGCTGGGGAGCCCCATGCCGGCTCTGTTTTCATCCTAGGTTGTTGTGGAACCTTGTACTGTAAGAAGCCCGAAAACGCGAATCCCTAAAGCCCTCAACCCCAAACACCCTAAACCCAGAAACCCCAAACCCTAACCCTTAGGCTCAATTTTGCCCAAAAGCCTTATATACGAAGGCAATTTGGCCCAAAGAGGCCTGAGAGCCTCAGGGCAAGGCCTTTCTAAAGCCCTCAAACTCCAAAGCCCCAAAGCCCCTTCTCGAGGAAGACAAGGCTGCGGCGGGCGGCCCCCAAGCGCGAGGAACGAGGGTCCAGCCAATGATGCCCTCAAAGGGGTGCTAGGGTTTAATACAGGGGCCCTAGTAATTGGATGGAATGGGGTTTTGGGGGGTGATTCTAGTATATTTGTATAGGGACGGACCATAAGGGAATACTCTTAGTAACGATTCCGAACCCTATATTAGGGCTTTAGTATGCTCAGGATTTCTGATTCAGGATTTTGGGCATTGGCTTTCGGGCTTTCAGTGTTGCTAAGGGGGTTTAGGGTGTGGGGTTCCAAAGCTTCAGGGCCTCAATCGGAGTGTTACAGGTTTTATCGGGCTTCTGGGAGAACATTAGGAGTCTAAAGCTCCCTAAATCTCAACCAAGGAGAGGATGCAGGGGGTCGTTGCTCGCAGCCTTCACCAAGAACCAGCTGCTGAAGTCACGACAAGCAACTGCGAAGCTGACCTTCAACTCTAAATCCAAGAACCTGGGTCCTCTAGTTCATGACTATAGAAAGTTAGGCTAACTTAGTAGGGATTCTATAGCAAATAAGGCATTGTCAATGTTGGGGGTATTTCCGTGTAATTTCCTGTGAGCAAGAGCCCCAAGTGCCCTTTTCCGTAGGCCAGCGCCCCGCCACCGCGCGGGCCGCCCCCAGTCTCGCAAGCGGGACCGGCCTGTTTCAACAATCGAATAGGTGGGAGGACGGAAACCCTACCTCCTAAAGCCCAAACCCAAAAAAACCCAAGACCTTATAACCCAATGTCGCTAAATCCGAACAAGCCTGACGAAACCCTAAACCCTATGTCACGATATTTCCGGGGAGATGCCGGCTTGAAGGTGGATTGGGTGGGTTACATGGCCTTCTGATAGTCTGATAGTACCTTTCCTTCAACCCCCGTATCCGAAACCCGCACCGTGAGCCCAAAGTTTGGACTTGACAACCCCTTGTTGAAGCGCGCTTCCCTACATTCCATTAGGATCCCTATGGTATCCAAGCAAGAATCCCTAACTGCCGCATGAGATAGTGGAGTCTCTTGGTAGCTCCTGGCCTCCCTTTGACCTCAATTTGAGCCAGGTAGTCCTCGTCCGGCCCGATGGACAGGACAGGGGAGCACAGCGCTTCACACGATGTGGGAATTCGAAGATCTTGGGCTCCCTCGTGCTACACGCCGTGAAGCGCTTGGCATGTGCGGCAACCAGCATGTAAGGGTAGTGAAGTAAGATGGAGGTGAAAGAGGTTGCTCATGCATACCAAAGGCTTGCAGTACCCTCAACGACGTTGGGACCATCAGATTCCCCTTGGGAAATATTTTGTTTATATCAAACCCAAGAGGATATCAACAAAATTATTTTTATTAAGGTTCTAAGGGGAGTATAGTCAGGAGAGGAGGATGGTCTTGCTGAAAGCGATGTTGATCTCGGAGATGGTCGAGTGTCTGGGCACAGGTTTTCCGAATCAGCCGGAGGTTGGCTTTTTCGGAGTTCCCAAGGCAAAAGGTTCCTTGCGAATACCGTAGTTAGTCCTTAGCCCTAGTACCCAAGCTGCCAAACTTGAGAAGCACCGATGCCCCCGCAGTTGAATGTTGGAAGGGGTTAGGTGGTTTTTTTGGAGCGAGGGGGGAGGGGGAGGGAGGGGGAGGGGTGGGGGGGGGCCGGGGTGAGGGTCTTAGCCTCTTAGCCTCTAACCGGGAGCTTCTGCTACTGCCAAGCATCATACGCACGGTCTCCGGGTTCTTTGTGCACTATAGGGATCCCAGACACCAACTAAACCCTAAGAAACTACTCCTTGGCAGCCCAGTGGTACCCTTTCCCCTGTTTTGGTTCAAGGTTCCCTTATAAAGCACCCCAAAACAGGGCGCCCTTATTCTTGTATGGTTTCTGGTCTACCACGACTCTAAAGCACCAGCTTTGGTGTGCATTTGGAGCCTGTAAAGATCGTGTCTTCAGGCGTCATCGGCCTGCAGTACTGAAGGAGGACTCCCCCGAACCCCCCACCACTGCAGCAGGGCTGAGGGACTAGGGCTTAGGGTTTAGGGTTTAGGGTTTAGGGTTTAGGGTTTAGGGGTTTAGGGGTTTAGGGGTTTAGGGGTTTAGGGGTTTAAGGTTTAGGGTTAGGGGCATAGGGGTTTAGGGGTTTAGGAGTTTCGGCTAGGGTTCAGGGACCCTCTTTGTAAGACTGACTCAGTCGTCGACTGCTTCGCGCGCAACGAAGGTAGATCGTTTAATTGCTTGTTCGCTCTCCGCCATGTTTCTGACACGCTGCATTTCGGATCGAAGTTGTTGATTGAGGGCTTTGCGGCACACTACCTGTACCAATTCTGACAAGCGAATGCTGCTCCTCATACCTGGCCGCCTTTCTTCCCAGTGGGTCTCGCTTCAAGGGCAAGCATGGTTTTCGGAGTCGCCAACTGCGACAAACTAGGCTTGTTTTCTGGGCACGCAGTGACAGTGCTGACCCTGCATAGTGAGCGCCGAAGCCACTTGTTTGTAATCTCATTTCCGTAGGCTGCAATGAGACTGCCGCCTGCAGACGATTAAGCCAGGCCCAAACAAACTCCATGTGCTTCATTAGAATTCCTTGCAGCCACCACCAACAGAAGAAGCCACCGTTTAGGGTTTAGGGCTTAGGGTCTAGGGTCTAGGGTTTAGGGTGCAGGGTTTAGGGTTTAGGGTTTAGGGTTTAGTGCAGGAGGAGGTCGATGTGATCGGGCCGGGGAACATGGCGCCTGGCCAATTTTTGAATATGGGGGGTCGGAATAATTACTAAGACTATTCCCTTGTTACTAAGACTATTCTCTTATTACTAAGACCAATTCCCTTATTACTGAGACTATTCCCTTATTACTAAGACTATTCCCTTATTACTAAGACTATTCCCTTATTCCTAAGACTATTCCCTTATGGTCCCTGCCCCTATATTAGGGGCTTCCGGCTCCGCTTTTGTGTTGAGTGTTGGGCCTTGTGGCATCGGGTTTACGGCTGTGAGGTTTGGGCTCGCAACGTCGAGTTTCCTGTATGGTTGCGAAGCATTGAAGCAGGGTTTTTAGGGCTTTGGGTCAGGGGATGTGTTATTTAGGGTTGGGGATTCTTGTTCTTGAGCGGTGCTAACTTTTCAAGGCTTTGCTAGGACTTCGGGGCTCGCGATTTTGGGCCTGGGGTGCGGATGCTGCACGCAGAGTGTGGGGGGGGGAACATCAGTCACCTGTCATAAACCTACCCTTGCACGAAATGCCAGATGACTCTTCTTTGGGGCCAAAACATTTGGTAACTCCGATTCTTTTAGGCACAAGCCCAGTACTACCTACGCCCCGTTCATCTGCCCCAGAGCGAGGGAGTTCCCGAGGTGCTCCCTCTGGATATTTCGCTGGAAGATTGCGAGGTGTTGGAGACAGATGAGGACCAACCATGGGTTGAGGGCTCAGGGTTTAGGCTTCGAGGGTTGGGCACCCACTGCACCTCTAACCCCCAGGCCGCAGCCCACTGCCTAGGCCCTGGCGCTTCCACGCAAGCTTTGAGGTTTATAGGGTTTATAGGGGGCTCGGGGTTTAAGGTTTTTTTTTGTGGAGGGTTTGAATGAAGGGCATGTTGGGCTTAGGCTTAGGGCTTCTCCAAAGCCCTCCTGGCGCGCCCCCCGGAACTTGCTGGATATCCGCCCATGCTACTGCTACGTCGTTTGGGCTGATCGGGGTACATGTACCCAAGAGTTTTTGGTGCGCTTTCCTTTTTTGAGAGGAGCGTGGGCTCCCAGGGTTTAGGGTTTAGGGTTTAGGGTTTAGGCTTTAGGGTTTAGGGTTTAGGGTTTAGGGTTTAGGGTTTAGGGTTTAGGGTTGGGGTTTAGGGATTAGGGATTAGGGTTTAGGGTTTCATCCTGGAAACACCTCGAGGCTCCCTGCTTCGGTGTATGCCTAGATCTTGAACAGGAAGTGCCGAGGTTCGTCTTCAAGATAACTGATCATGCAGCTTGGCACCGCCACAACCCCGCCAAACCCTAAACCCTAAACCCTAAACCCTAAACCCTAAACCCTAAGCCCTAAGCCCGAAGCCCGAAGCCCTCAGCCCTAAGCCCTAAGCCCTAAGCCCTAAGCCCTAAGCCCCGAACCTAAAGCCGAGGAAGATGCTCAACACGCTGGGTTTTGAGTTCAGGGTGGGCTTGGGAGTGGTGGACTCTTATAGGCTCCCGGATTCAAGAAAGAAAAGCTGTTTCATGAAGGGGCTGAAGAGCCAGGGGGGACCATCTTACAGGGGGAGCCCGAATTCAAAGCCCCTAAAATTGTAAATCTCATGACGCAAAGCAATCGGGGGTTTCCGACAATTAGGGAGTCATTTTTTGTTTTTTTTGGGGGGGAGGGGGGGGGGGGGGGCGGGGGTTGCTTAGTAGGGCCTCCGTGTTGTCAGACCGACAAATCCCCCTTCAACCCTAAACCACCCAAAGCCCCAAACTCTCAACGCCAGGTTTCGTGGTTGCCCAGTGGTACCCTTTTCCCTCTTTCCTGGGTCAAGGTTCCCTTATACAGTGACCAAACCCAAAAAAAGGGTGCCCTTATTATCATATGGTTGCTGGGCTCCCCCTAAACCCTGAACCCTAAACCCTAAACCCTAAACCCAAAACCCTAAACCCAAAACCCTAAACTACCAAGATTTACAGCAAGGCTGCCCCAGAGCCGGTCAGAGATGATGTGGAGCCGGTCAGAGATGATGTGGTGCCAGGCTGGGGATGGGGGATTTCGGGCTTCGGGTTTTCGCTGCGGGGGGCTTCGAGGCTCAGAGGGGAGTTTAAGGTGTTTTTAGGATTTAGGGCTTAGGGCTTTGGAGAGGAAGGGCTCGGGGTCTCGACGTGGGATTCTCATGTGAAGTTTGGGCCCCGGATCACCAGCACTACATTGCTGATAGGCTTGGGTTTGGGGCTTAGGGTTGAAGGTTTGAAGACCTGTGGGGTCTGTACAGCATCGTTTTGTGAGTTTGGTGTCGAGGGTGTGGACGGGGCTTCTGGGCTAGGGTGCCTTCCCGCATCGCGGCAGATACTATGGACTTGCAAGCCATCGACGACTGAGTGACGCCGCCAAAGAGGAGAAAGATTGCCGCACCAGGACTTTATTCCCCAAACCCTACTTGACCCCCTACGCTTAACACAAAAATGCTCCACCCCTGCAACGAGGCAGATGAGCCCGTATCTCTGACGATAAGCAGCTGTCAACATACCGGGGTCCATGTGCGCAAAGCCGGAGATGTAGCCAGTTCATCTCCCAGCCTGGCATGAAGACTTCGAGCCCTGAACCCTACAGCCTCATGCCATGGTAGCATCCCGGATCCCCGGCTCATCGTGGGATCCTGGGTTCAGGGTCTGCTCCGCGGCTTCGTGACCCGTGGGACCTATTGGCCGCCCTAAGGCCTGAACCCTACTGACCATAAGGGAATCCCTTAAAATCTGTGAAGTCCTATAAGCCCATACCTCAGGAGTCCTGGAACCCCCACTACAGGCCACTGGCTAAAACATAGCGAGGTCAGTGGGGTCACCGATCGCCAAAAGTTCCGACAGCCCCCCCCAGCCCCAGTTGCCAAGGGATTAGACAGACTCTGAAACCCAGGGTTGGACTTTCAAAGCTCCAAGTACATCCCAACCCCACACCCAAACCCCCAAATCGGACACTCGGCGGCTGCGGACGACGATAGGGATGGCGGCGAGCAGAGGAGGCGCGGCCGGGGGACGCAGATCATTTTCGATGCAGTGTCTCACGCCATGTGTGTGTGTATGTGTGTGTGTGTGTGTGTGTGTCTGTGTCTGTGTCTGTGTCTGTGTCTGTGTCTGTGTCTGTGTCTGTGTCTGTGTCTGTGTCTGTGTCTGTGTCTGTGTCTGTGTCTGTGTCTGTGTCTGTGTCTGTGTCTGTGTCTGTGTCTGTGTCTGTGTGTGGGTGGGTGGGTGGGTGGGTGGGTGGGTGTGTGGGTGTGGTGTGTGTGGTGTGTGTGTGTGTGTGTGGGTGTGTGTTGTGTGGTGGTGTGTGTGGTGTGTGTGTGTGTGGTGTGGTGTGTGTGTGTGTGTGGGTGTGTGTTGTGTGGTGTGTGTGTGTGTGGGTGTTGTGGTGTGTGTGTGGGGGGGTGTGGGTGTGTGGGTGTGTGGGGGTGTGTGTGTGTGGGGGTGTGTGTGTGTGGGGGTGTGCGTGTGTGTGGGGGTGCGTGTGTGTGGGTGTGCGGGTGTGTGGGGGTGTGGGTGTGTGGGTGTGTGGGTGTGGGTGTGTGGGTGTGGGTGTGTGGGTGTGGGTGTGGGTGTGGGTGTGGGTGTGGGTGTGTGGGTCTTTTCCGTTTCGGGGCCTGAACGTGAATTCGTCAATTTCCAAGCTCATACCAACTAAGCTAGGCAATCATTCCAAATCTGAATCTGGGGTCGGTTTCAACTGAGTGTCTGATGCTCGCTTTGTTTTTGGAACTCCTCACAATTCTAAACCCTAAACCCTAAACCCTAAACCCTAAATTTTAAACCCTAAACCCTAAACCCTAAGCCCGGCTTTGGGTCGTAGGAAAAGGGTCTGCGCCATGCCTGTTTTGGGGTGCGGTTCTGGTGCTCACGGTTACGGGGGCATCTCATGAGAAAGCGGGGGTTTCCGACAATTAGAGGTCCCTTTTTAAAGGGGTCGAGGGTTGAGGGTTGAGGATTGAGGGATTTCGGGTTTAGGGTTTAGGGTTGGGGCGGGGGAAATTCCTTCTTCACGGCCCCAGTCACCCAAATAGGGCCTTTCTGGTGGCAGTATACCGCACTCGTACTTCACCGTTCTGCTGCGGGAAAAGTTGCAACAATAGCAGCAACTAATAGCAATTAGAATATCTACGTTTATGCTTCCTAATAATGTGAGGCGTGGTCGGTGATGAGAGGCAGGAAGGACTCAGTTTAACCAGACCCCAAAACTCCCAAGTCAAACTGCACGCCCCGGAACTCTAGCTGCTAGCCACGTGGGCAGCCCAGATTTCCGGTCTTGTCCCGGATCCCGCTCAAGATGTCGTGAGGGAGTCGACGACCTTTGGAGACCCGTCTCCCCAGAGCTGCAAACCATGGGCCGGTCTCTTTGTCCAAGGGGCTTGCTGCTTTTCATCTTCACGGCGATGCGGAACACTTGGGCCGGTGAGGAGACGATGGCACAGCTGGGTGCCCAGCTGGCGCCTCAAGCGGCGTTGGCAAGAAGTGTTGATTTTCCAGGAATTCCTATCTAGGAATTCATATGTACATATATGTAGTACCCCCCCCCCCGGGTACCCAGGTTTCCGGCTGTACTGTCCCTTCAAAATCACTCCCAGAACGGACAATTTTGTAAATCCTAAAGAACTAATTCTGGAGGCCTATTACAGACAGGCCCTCACGAAAAGATTGGTTTGCACGGACAGTGCAGCACTTTGAAGGCCTGAAGTGCTGAAAGAGCTGTACTGTCCCTAAGAAACCAAGCTTTGGAAGAGAACCCGGCTATATAGGCCTGCAGAATTTTTTCTGTTCTCTAGGGACAGTGCAGCATTTTCTGCTTCTGGGAATGGTTTTTAGGGACAGTACAACACTTTGAAGGCCTGAGGGACTGAAAGCGCCGTACTGTCCCTTAAAGAAACCATCCCAGAAGCGGAAATTGCTGTAATGCCCCGAATAAACTTAAGAAATATTTCTGGAGGCCTACACAGACAAGACAGGCCCTCACGGAAAGATCGGTTTTTTAGGCCACAGTACAGCATCTTCGGCTTTTTGCTCAGGGTTTAGGGTTTAGGGTTTAATTAGGTTTTAGGGTTTAGGACGGCTTGAGGTGCTGAAAGTGAACAACCAATCCTTGGATGAGGACCTGGTGGTGTGGGCCTCCAGGATTATGGGTTTAGGGTTTAGGGTTTAGGGGGTTTTTTGGAGACAGTACAGTTTGAACAGCAATTACACTAATCAAACTACGTCCATTAAAGAAGCGTAACTTATGTACCTTGGTTCAGTGAATTCGTTTAGTTCAATTTATACTATTTTGGTGCGTTTACTTACCCTTCAGTAAAGAAGTTAAGCCATTGACATCCCCTAACTAAGCCACCTTCAACAAACAGAAAGCGTACCTTTTGGAATTGGTTTAGTTTATTCATTTCATTTAGTTAAGGGCCTTAAGGGTGGCTTAAATACAGGAAGGAAATTTAGCCAGTCCAATGTATTTGTTTCACCTTGAGATTAAGAAACCGATGAAGTCTTAATTCTGGGGAAGGCCTATCTAATTATTCCATGTAAAGCAATTAAATCAACCAAACTAGTTCAATTAATTTGGAACGGATCGTGGTGAAATTAGTGTGATTCATTGAATTCATTGAGTTAACGGTTGACTTTGTAATTGCATCCAAAATTTACTTCACCCTTGCATAAGCTACTTCAACCATTGATATTGCGTTAGCTAAGTTAATTTAAACTAAGTACTTGTCTTTACTAATTTATTCATTGTTTTCATTTAGTCAATGGCCTTCTAAGTTATACTTACCCCTTCAGAAAAGTAATCAAACTATTGACATTACTCCAATTAAGCCATGTTCAGGAAGCAAAAAACCCTTAGTTAACTTAAGTACCGTGTTTGTGAACGAAAACAATGAACACATGTTGGCTAATTTAGTTTATGCTGAGGCGAAGCGAAGTTTGATCAGGTTTCCGAATGAGCATGTTTTACTTGATGTAGTACATAAAAATGTTTCGATTGTTTTTGTTAATGGTTCACTAAATTCAGTGATTTGACAACTTCGAGGTGGCTGAAAAACATCATTTTATTCAAATTGGGTATTAATTCAATACAGGTTGGGGGAGTAACATATATATACATATACATATATGAGCATATGTATATTTACATAACATACTACAGGTCTTTTACATTGCATTTAAACTGTTGTTTGAGTATTATACTGTACTTATACAAGTATATGGCATGAACAACGGCCTCAAGCTGCTTTTTGCTTGCGGAGCTCCCGAATCGCGTCAGGTGTTTGGGCCTCTGGATCGACGTAGGTGGACGAGGGGCCCTCCTCCCCTGGGTTTCGAGAACGCCACCCGTGACAAGGGACCTTGCCGGAGCGGAAAGTACAATGTGACGATCGTGGAGACTGCGCTCGAGTGCGCAAGGTTGTGCAGACGGCAGAATTGGTGTAGAGGTTTTGGTTTCCAAGATGGCCCAGACTGGAAGAGAGAGCCGGACTTCGTGCATGGAGCATGCCAAATGATGGAAGTCCTCATTCCAAAAAGCACTGGTGTGCAGGGCATTTTGTCTTATTCAATGGGTACAACTTCTGGTTTCGATCTGCAGCAACTCGGGGCTGCGATAATTTACAACAGTAACTCAGATCGCTTGCGATGGTGCAGAGGCGACTATGCAAGAGCAACCAGGGATGGGGGGAAGTGTGCTTATGACCCATCGTGGAGGAAGTATACTGTTGGGAATGCCAGCAGTGTATATGAATGTGCACAGCTTTGCGCAGGCTCATATTGGTGCGTTGGGTTCAATTGCAAATCTGGGGCTTGGTGGAATGATGAGCCGGACTTTTTTCCTGGGGCTTGCCAAATGATGGCAGGCCTTCGGCCTTGCCCCACTGGAGTGACAGACCTTTCTTCCTATGCCCTCCATTTCGTTACAAAGCCTGTGACCACTACGCTGACTACGCTGAGCCCAGGAGCTGTCTCTACCACGGGAGCAGCGACAACGTCCCCTGCGGTGATAGCGATTTGTGCGATGGCTTCGCTGATCTTCCTTGCCGCATGCTTGATTTCCATGCGGTGGCTCGTTGCCAGAACCAAGCAGTCTGCGACAATGTCAGAAGAGCCTCCAGCGCCTGTACTTCTCGGACAGACCACGAATCCATTGAGCTATTTGGACAAAGACTTGATGGTCATACGAAGAAGTGTGACAGCTGCGGAGATCCAAATGGGAGTCTCTGCCATCTATTTGCTGCAAATCTTCCCCTCCGAAGCTCGAGCTTCCACCAGCCTGCCTGATCCGAACTTCTACCAAATCTGCCCTGTACTGGCCCTTGGGGAGAAAGGCAAGGGCTTTGGGAAGATTTGCCCCCGAGACGGCCGGCCAAACTGCAGCATCGTGGACGCCTTAGATCCGGAACATCGAGCAACCGCAAGCCACTTTGTTTCATGGTGTTGGAGTTACAGCTTGGATGTGGTAGTCGGTGCTGTGCAACATTGGGCAGAATCTACTCCCTGTCCCCAAGAGGAAATCGTCCTTTGGATGTGTTTCTTCTGCAACAACCAGTATCGAATTCAGGAAGGCCTATGCAACAACTCGGATGACTTGAGTGCCATTTTCGCGGCGCGCTTGTCAAGCGCGGGGAAGATGCTGGTCATCCTGGACTCATTTCTAGAGCCTCACTACTACTCGAGGGCGTGGTGTCTATTTGAGACCTTCATCTGCTTACAGCACAAGTTCCCTATGACGATTCTGCTGCCCCCACGAGAATTGCAGATCTTTCGGCATGTCTTAGAGTCCTCTCCCTGGCAAGTGAGAGACAGGTTCCAGCGGATCGATTTGAGAAATGCCAGGGCATCTGTGCAAGCAGATGAGGATGCAATTAAGAATCTGGTCCACAGCTCCTGTGGGTTTGATGTTGTGAACTCCATGGTGAAAGATGAGTTTATGGCTTGGCTTCTGCGTGCCTTTCAAGAGTATGTCAAGGGCACCATTGAACATCCGGCGGATCATCTTGATGATGGCTCAGCAAGCCACTTCTCTGCGGTGTGGCCCAGAAGTCGAGACACATTCTGAGTTCGTAGAGGTCGTAGGCGTCGTAGGCCCTGAGCATCAATGCCCAAAGAATCGTCCCAGAGCCTCCTTGGCACGGCCAAGGGCTCTGCAGTTTTCTGCTCCAAGGTGAGTTTGCTTAGCCCGGCTGCCCTCTTGGCAATGCCACAGCCGGAACGCCCAGCTTTGCATTTCAATTCGGCCACTGAATGCAGTGAAGCAGAACAGCTCAGCTTGCGAGGTTCCATTGCCTACAAGGTTCTAAGCTGCTAATGCCCAGATTTCAGTGAAAACAACTACTGATTCAGCACAAGCACCGACTATCTATCACTGCATTCCTGCAGTGTTTCCCTCCCAAGCAGCAATAGTCTGCAGGTATGAGGTCAAATCAATTGGTCCACCCAAAATTCGCTGGGCCTGTCAGATTGGCAAAATTGAACCGCCGTCCATAAGGTGTGCTGCCAAGTGAGCTCGTCAAGCGTTTCATAGCACTCAAATTGTACGCAGGCCCCTACTTATCTAAGACGTGGAGACACCAAGTCCTACTTTGCCTTGTGCACGTGCGAAGCTTGGAGGTACTGAGAGGTGTAGGGTTTAGGGTGTAGGCTAGATCCCCCTTGATGATTTTTCGTTTATATACAACCCAAGAGGATACTAAACACATTGTTTTTACTAAGGTTCTAAGGGGAGTGTAGTAGGGTTTTGGGGTTTAGGGAATTGAAGCCAGCACACGACCCCGCAAAAACCTCAAAGAAAATACTTTCTCGGCCCGGGCAGGTTCTCAAGGACTACGACAACGTTCTCACTGCCATCGTCGTCGGCTACTCCCTTCAAGCCCTAAGCCCCCAAGTAACCCTAGGTACGATAAAACTTTGCACAGATGTAGCTCCAGAAGCCCCTAAACCTTGAACTAAACCCCAAACCCTAATTTCTGAACCCTAAACCCTAAACCCCAAACCCTAAACCCCAAACCCTAAACCCTAAACCCTAAAAGAGCCCTCGAGTTTCGACCCAGGGCTGCCCTCCAATGAGCGGGGCTTACGCCGCTTGGTAGCGGAAGTGGTTTGAAGGTTTCTTTTCTTGAGGTGCTTTAGGGGGTTTAGGGTTTAGGGTTTAATTAGGGTCTAGGGTTTAGGGCTTAGGGTTTAGGGTTAGGGTTTAGGGTTTAGGGTTTAGGGTTTAGGGTTTAGGGTTTAGGGTTTAGGGTTTAGGGTTTAGGGTTAGGGTTTAGGGTTTAGGGTTTAGGGCTTAGGGCTTAGGGCTTAGGGCTTAGGGTTTAGGGTTTAGGGTTTAGGGTTTAGGGTTTAGGGTTTAGGGTTTAGGGTTTAGGGTTTAGGGTTTAGGGTTTAGGGGCTTGGAGTTTTCGGGGGTTGATTGGAGTTTAAGATTTTGGGTTTGGGGTTTAGGGTGGGTGGGGGTTTTGGGGCTTGGAGGGTTTGTGTCATTGGCGGTTTTTTTCTTGAGGTAGGGCGCACGTGCATGTGTGTAAGTGTGTGTTTTTGGAGGAATCAGAGGACAAGCAATGCAGGGTTGATCCTGATGTCCTTCATCCCCAGGCACGCACGCGGAGCATCACAAAGGACCCAATCCCTGTAGCTCAACCCAAAATTTAAGATCTGAACTCTGGGTGAAAAGTCTCAAGTGTATACCTGCAACTGAAAATTAAACCCTACACCCCAAACCCGAAGCCCCCAGCCCAGGATTCTAGTCGCATTTAAGCATTTGACGAATATAAACTCTTAAACCCTAAACCCTAAACCCATATCCCTAAACCCATATCCCTAAACCCTAAATCCTAAAACCCTAAACCCTAAACCCTAAGCCCTGGGCCCGAGGGACGTCCCAGCCTCGTAGGGCCGGCACTGGTGGCAGCGCCAGGCTAAGGTCGGGCCGTGTATATGCCATGGAAATTTCTATGTCATGGTCCGAATCAGTCGCCATGGTAAGTCCATGGATCCCTGGCCATAGGCTTCCGCAATGGAGTGCCTCCAAAGTCATTTACTTCAGAGTCCAGTCTCAAGAAGGCCGTAGAGTCTCTGCCGTCGTCGTCGATCCCCAAGTGCTCCAACTTGGCGTGAGTCATGCTTCCAGGTCTTTCAGGAGCTTGTGTGAGCCAATTGTGATTGATGACGTTCCATGTCGATTGCAACATGGAGATCTCCATGTTTTATGGGGTTCTTTGACCCCTGCTTGGCATGAGACGGAGTGCACTTGGAAGGTGCAAGCACCTGCGGCCACCAAGTCATCAGGGTGGTGTCGTGTTCTTTGTCAAAGGATGTCATCGTACCCCATGCAGACTGCTGAGATTCTCTGTGATTCCATGGCGGGGCCATGTGTGGAGACTTCACTTTTGTCGCGTATTGGGGCTTTAAGGAAAATGTTTTCAGGACTTTGCGGAGGAGGTTGGCAGCTACAACGTGGAGGTGCCCAATGTGACGAAGGTTTTTCGGGATGGGTGGGTGTTGATGGGCGTTTTCATTCACTCCCAAAACCAGCATATGGGATGGCGTGGCCAGAATGGCTGCAAGATAATGGTTCCATGCCGGCCTTCGACTGCTGGGCTACAGTGAATGGGAAGATGCTCGCAACCGCTGAGGTGCTCGATGGCTCACACCTTATCCTTCAGATCCGTCCTCGCCTCCGAGGAGGAGCCAAAACCCCACATGCCCCCGCAGACATCCAGAAGCTCAAGAAGCACCTCATCACCAAGGGCGTCCCAGAAGCCCATGTGGACGAGCGTGCGTCGGAAGTCCTTGACGTGCTTTCAGCGGAACAATTGGCTCACATCTACAGGTCTCTTGAACCGTGGGCTGAGATCAAAAGGGCCGTTGGGCTTAAGGTTCGTCTTATCAGACCGGACGAAGCCAAGGCCACGAGAGCTAAAGCCAAGGCACCTGAGCACACACACACACACACAGTCGGCTGGTTCTGAAGATCCCTGGATTAGATCTGATCCATGGAAAGAAGGCCGCGAGACAACATCCAAAGGGTTAATTAGGGTGGAGGATAAGACTCCTGTCCAACTGTTGCCCGAGTATTTTGCAATGGAGAATGGCGAGCAACCTCCCTTGCTTGATGAGCTCAAAACAGCGGCCAAAGGCATCGCGCTTCTTCCCCTGTCTCAGGTTGAGACACTTGCTTCAGTCGGCAACTACCTGAGCCAAGATGAGTGCGCTGCGGTGGTCGCTGGGGTGTGCCCTCCTTCGGTGGCCTCCTTCAAGTGTGAGCCCATCTCCTTTATTGCAGAACACCTTGAGGCCGGCAAGGTTCTTCTCAAAGGGCATCTCGTCAACTTTGGCGAAAAAGTCGTCAAACTCCATAGCCCTGCAGCCAACATTGAGCTCTCCGAAAAGGAAGCTCGGGTCATTACCATCGAGATTGTGAGAAAATTCTGCCCGGACTGGCGGAAAGTGGCGAGCAATCCGCTACGCTGCGCATGGGCTGCCGTTCCTGGACTGCAAAAGGGGCTCCTTTCCACGTGGTCCCGCAAGTTTTTCTGCGAAAGGAAGCTCTCTAGCCCGGAGGAAGCTCAGACGTGGCACTGTTTTGGGAAGGTGGTGGCGGACCAGCTCCCGGACATCCTAATGGCTTCTGGCAACGAGGGAATATTCGTCAATCCGAAGTTGGCGCAAGGCGGCGCAGACAACCGTTTCAAAGTCATATGGGCTGATCATGACAGTCTTGCAAAGGCCCAAACGATAGCCAAGACTCACCCCTCCATCAAGGGCCTGGTCCATGGCAAGAGTTCTCTTGGCTTCAGAGTGCAGGCCACGGAGTACTCGGCAACACGCCTTCGCCTTGATCCCAGTTGGCAAAAGGATGAGATCTTGAAGTATGACCTAGTTGTCCAGTTCCGGTACCTCATGACGCCTCTCCCGCTTGACGTTGACAAAGGCATGGTTCAGGAAATCCTCAATCAGATGGGGTGGCTTGCAACACCTCTACGCCAAGTCGGCCCAGCGTCCTGGTTGGTAGGAGCGCAAGAGGAACCAAAGTCAGAAGTCATGACCTTCCGTGGCCAGATGGTTCTTCTGACCAAGGAGACTATCAAGGACACTGGCAAAACTACGCATTCCGCAGCGCTTGCCGCTCCGACTTCCCTGAAGAAGTCTTTGGACCGCAGATTCAAGGCCGAAGACAATTCAATCTGGAGTCACGCAGCCAGAGGAAGTCAGCTCTTGGGGGTTCCTGTGCCAAAGCCCGCGCCTCAGATTGCCCTACAACAAGACGTCGAGACCAAGATCAATGCCGCAAACGTCCTCATGCAGACTGAGATCGAGTCCAAAATGGATAAGACGAATGAAGAGTGGCGACAAGCCATGCAAGAACTGGAGGCTCGCATGCAGGTGACGATTCAACAGTCGCAGCACCAACAACAAGTTGAGTTGGCTCGACTACAGGAACTTCATGCCCAGGAGACCGTGAAAGCTGAGAACGCAGCCAAAGCTGTTGACAACCGCCTCAATACACTCCAGGCTGACGTCCAGGGACTGGCCCAAGCAATGTGCTCCAAGCAGGACATGCAGGCTATCTTGGCTGAAGCCCTCGCGAAGCAGAGCTCAGATTTTCAACGTATGCTTTCAAAGCGCTCCTCCGAGCCACAAACGCCCGAGAAGAGAGCGAAAGTCCAGCAGTGATGTTTGACACGCCTCGCAGTTAGCTGGGTTTACATTCTACTTGCGGGTGAAGGCCTTGCGGCCCGATGTGTCAAGATCTTTGGAGTGTTCCCATATCCCAGCTGCGCATCGGCGTGTTCCACTGCTTTGATGGCTGTTGCAACTATATTTCGTAATTGGGCCAGTGAGGCCTATGCATCCATACAGTCGCCCGACGATGTGAACAAACAAGCTCGGTGGCCTCACATGCAGTCACCACAAGTCTTATTTTCCACTTTTCTGAGGTTCTTCCCCTTTGTAACCGTTGACATCTTTGCAGTCGAGGTCTACATCCGTACCCCTCGAATCTTCTCCATGTTGAGTCAAGGTTTTCCTCCCTTTCTGGGTGTAAGAGTAGGTGAGGCCCTCAACCCTGGCCCGCAACACCACTGGAAACTCCAGCTGCGCAATATCGTTTCTGCCGACTGTCACGTACATGAGTTGCACAAATCCACAGATGATTGCATTGTTTGGTCGGAGACAGCTGCCACTGACAAGATGCAGATTTGGATTAAGAAGGCTGCTGCGAAGCATGGTGCATTCTGTAGTTTTTCTGCCCCAGCAGATGCTCGTAAGCTCAAAGACAAGATCACCAACGGCCGTGGAGCCTCTACTGGTACACTTTGTTATACAGCTAGTGTCAAACAAGTATCGCTTCATGGTCTTTGGACTACTGATGTTTGGCATTCCAGTAGAATTTCTGATTCACTGCTGCACTTCAACCGGACGCAAGTTAGAATTATCTCTGTGTACGGCTACCACAGTCAGATTGAGGGTGCTTCGGGCCTCAATGACCGTCTTTTTCATGCAGTCTTCAGTCAGGCGATGGCTTTTCCAACGCCGACCATTGTTTTGGGCGATTTTAATACTGATGTTTATCAGTTTGAGTCCTGTCAGAATGCTGTAAACTACGGGTTCGTGGATGTCAGCGCTTGGTGGCATGCCTTGGTACATCAAGAACCTCCACCCACATACCGAGGCAAAAGTCGTTTGGACTATATTTTTTGCAACCCCCAGGCTATGAGAGCAGTGAAGAGTTTTTCCCAGGACCCAATGGGTTATACTGATCATGCTGCTCTCTTCATCACATTCGATTGGGAACAAAACTGGAATTCCTTTAAATGGTCTTTTCCATATGACCTTGATTCGGTGCCAGGGCTCTTACAGCGTTGTGCCAAGTCCCAGATGGCTCCGCTCTTTCCTGTTGATGCCGCAAATGATTGCGATACCAATTTACAAGCCTGGGTGTTATCGTTTGAGAGCTTGGCTGAGACAGTGCATGAAGCTAATGCAGGTTGCCCATTGGCCAAGCCATTCTTTGGACGCCTTAAGGGTAAACGTGTCAAAGTGAAGCCATCTAGGCTTACTCTTTCTTCAGACGGAGACGAGATGGTCCAGCGCCAGGCCTTGACATACAGGTCGCAGTGTCTGCGCTGGGTGCGGGAGCTACACCACGAACTCCTCAAACATGGAAGTGGTTGGGGACAGGCTCACAACCTGTGGCGGAAGATCTTGAAGTGCAAAGGCTTTGATGGCTCCTTTGCGCAGTGGATTCTGGACAATGAGGTGGCCTCTATGGTCCCTGTGCGTGTACCGTCTGTAACGTGGCTTTCCATGGTTTCTGAAAGGCTGCGTGATGAAGAGCGCTTATGGTTTCAGGCCATTCGGCTGCAGTCTATCAACTGCTACAAGCAAAACATGGCTGAAGATTTTCGGAAAGGAGGTAGACGACACGCTGCTGCAGTCAAAGGAGGCTCCACGGCCCCCTTACACTCATTGGCTGTTTTTCGACCTGTCGAGGTTCAACGCGTTCGGGTCAATAAGGGCTCCCCTGCACGGCTCATCCTCAAGAGCCCTGTTGCAGTCGCGCCTGGCGATGCCCTTAAACTAGGCAAGACGATGTGTCAAATCCAAGCATGTACTCCGGAAGTCATTACTCTGGATGCCCCGATGAAGCATGATATGTACAAAGGCGCGGCGGCACTCGTATCTTGGTCCACGGAACCCGCAGTTGTGCAGGAGCAGGTCCAGACTTTCTGGAAGCAATTCTGGTTCCCCGAACAGCAACCGGACTTGCAGTTCGTTCAAGACAACATACAGCACATGCCCGCATTGGCTCCTTTCGATGCCGCGATATCTTTCCAACCAAGAATTACGTCACCTTTCGCTGCCATTACGTACGGACCTTTTGGTTGTGTTGAATCAGCTTTCATGGGTCCAGGTGTGGCCGTCCTCGTTGTGTGCATCGTATGTTTCCTTATATTAGCAAAAGTGGACAATCCAATGGTGCCTGCAGACGGGCGGCCCATAACAGTGTTGCCGACGCTTTACAGACTCTGGGCCAAAATCCAGACCAAAAAGGTTCTGCAGAGCATTTTGCCGTGGCTCCCTCAGGAGCTTTACGGCTCGGTTCCAGGTAAAAGTGCGCAGGAGATGACTTTGGACTTGCAGGCCTCCATTGAGTACGCCGTGGCCACTGGCAGCACGCTCACTGGTTTGTCTCTTGACTTATCGAAAGCATACAACACAATTGATAGAAACGTTTTACAGATATTGGCACGCAGAGTTGGATGGCCAAACAACCTGATCTGTTCCTATATGGGTTTCTTGAATGGTTTGCAAAGACACTTTATGGCAGGCGGGTCACTATCTGAGTCTATGGGCAGTAGCACAGGTGTGCCTGAAGGATGTCCTCTTGCTGTAACTTCCATGATGCTCGTTACTTGGTTGGTTACGTCGGTCACAAAAGCCAAGACTGGCGTCGTAGTACACTCATATGTGGACAACTGGTCGTTGCAGCACAGCCAACTTGACCGGCCATTGATGGAGCAGAGCAAGTGGCAATCGCGACCGACAAACTTGCTATGCGGCTTTCACTTGAGAAAACCCACGCTTATGCCACTGTGGCAAAGGACCGCAGACGCCTCCGGTGCGCAGAAGTTGCTGGTTGTAAGCTTTCCGTTGAACATTCTTTTAAGGACTTAGGGGTTACTTTCCATGCAAGGCGGCAGCCCAGTGCTGCAACAATCCAGGCGCGCACCAGAACAAATGAGCCAAAACTACAGAGACTGCAGAGCGCTACGTGGCCTTTGTACCGAAAAGTCTCTACGCTGATGCGTGTCGTGGTGCCCTCGTGGCTCTTCGGGTGTGAGTTCACTTCAATGTCAAAGTCTGCTTTCAAACAGCTCCGGGGTCGCATGAACACGACACTGTGGGGCAAACACTCGAATCGGGATCACTTCTTGGCCCCTCTTGCCGCGGCGCCTCTTGAGTACGAGCCTTTTTTATGGGTGTTACAGCAGCGGGTTCGCACTTTGCGGAAATTTTGGTTCTGGTGGCCAGCCAAAGCTGGATTATGCTGGGATACCGCAGTTGCTCTGCCTGCAGCAAAGGCTTTGGGCCCCTTTTCGTATTTCAAGCAGCAGGTTGGGGTCTTGCAGTGGTCCATGGTGCCTGATGGGTACCTCCTCACCGCGCAGGGAAAGATGCACATCCTTTTTTCGGATCCTTTGAAGCTTTTGGCCGAAGCGCGTCAGCAATGGATTCAGGCTGTTGTAATGCCCCAAGCCCGTGCCAGAGAAGTACCAATTCCTGCCAGTCTTGATGTTGATGAGATTCGTTCTGCTCTTAAGACTTCTGGAACATACAATGTGGTTGCTGCAAATGTGCCAGCGGGTGCACAGTTTTCTGCCGCGCAGAAAACCCACGTAGAGGGTGCTATATGTCTTTGCAAATATTGTGGGCAGTCTGACAGTTTCAGGCACTTGTACCTACATTGCTCTCACACACAGCCGTGCCGAGACGGCGTCGACGCAAATTTTTTGCTGCGCAGGATGACTGCGCTTTGATCCTTGGCATGTGGGCGCAGGATCCGCAGCAACAGCATTTCCGAGCACAATTGACGTCGACGTTCCCCGCCATTGGGCCATGTTTTTGGGAGAAGGTGCATTTATTTACAGATGGAACCTTGGACCTACCCAAATTTCCTACTGTCGCGCTTGCATCGTGGTCGGTAGTTTTAGCCACCCCTAATGTACTCCGTAAACGTAAGGTGTGGGCACAACATTTGCATGGTGATGGGCATAGTATCAATAGGGCTGAGCTCATGGCTATTTTGGCTTGCGTTATGTCAGCTCCTGGCGGCGACATCTACACAGACAGTGCCGTTACATATCTAGGCTATAAAGCGGTCCAAAGAGGTACAACTTCTAGACTCTGTAGTATGGCAAATGGTGACCTGTGGTTTAAGCTGTGGCAACTTCGCCATAAGCTTGGTGATTGGGCGGTGCACAAAGTCAAGTGTCATGTTGAGTGGCAAACCGCCCCTTCTGATCGTATAGCTTGGGAATCATTCCACAATGATTATGCTGATCATTGCGCAAAGGAGGTCAATGCTCAGTGGCCTGCTACAGTGCGTGCATTGCAAGCGCAAATGCTAGCCAGGCTGAAACAGAAGCGCGAGAACATTCGAGCGGCGCAAGCTTTGCATACACATGTGGCGACGATGACGCAACCTGAGAAAGTGAGAGATGAATGTCCGGCGCCTTCTGCAGGTGACTCATGCAGATTATCACTCAAGCAGCGGTTGGGTGTACGCGTCCCAAGTAATCTCTTCCTTGACAACACTGGTATTCCGTACAGTTCATGGACACTTTGCCCTGAATTTGCAACAATTTTAGTACAATATCTCAAGGCTCAGCAGTGGATTCATGATGAAGATGGATTCACACTTTTGGAGTTGTACATGCATTCTGTGGCCAGTTGCGGATGGATTGTCCCGATCAATGTATCAACATTTTCTCCACCTTTTCGGCTGTTGGATGGATCGCTGTCCAATTGCGCACCTGCTGTTTGGATTCATGAGCACGTTTACCCAAACCTGAAGTTGTGCAGGCAGCCTTTGTACGTACAGTTACAGACTTTTCGCCAAGTGCTGTTGCAATTGACACAGTTCATGCCTGTGACATGCGCTTTTTCGTACAATCAACCTTACAAAGACCTCGGATTACGTACGCAGATGATGTGTTTAAGTATGAGACCACGAGCCTGTCTGAATTCTGAGCTTGTCAATTCTCTCCGTACAGATCGCTCGGAAGGAAGTCTGTACAGCAGGTTCAATCGAGTATTTCATCCCAAAGCTTGCGGCGATGTATGGCCGTGTCAGCAGATGGGACTGCGTCCAAGGGCGCTCTGGCTCGCCCGTAAAGCCTTCTGTAAGAAGCCGCTGCGAAGGCTTGAGCCTTGAATTAACCCCAAATTCATCCAGTATTCTCACCTCAAGCTGATTGCTTCAGGAGTGTCCGCATGACAGTTCGCATAAACCCTAAACCCTAAACCCTAGGGCGCCTCGAGGGCTCCCGCAAGCCCCAAGAACCCGAAGCCTGAAGCCCGGCAGACCGTACGGTTGAAACGTCCCACACCCTGAGCCGAAAACCCCTTGCTTCAAAAACACCCAACCGACTCTAGGTTTAGGGTATAGGGTTTAGGGTTTCGGGTTTAGGGTTTAGGGTGCTAGGGACCTGCCCTCAACCCCTGAGAAGACCCCGGAAGCGCACGAATAGCCCTCAAGGCCAAAACACCTTCAGAATCCCTGAGCCTTGAGAAGGTATCCCAAGTCGCCTAGATTCCTAAAAGCCCAAACAACCCAAGCAGGGTTTAGGGTTTAGGGTTTGGGGTTTAGGGTTTAGGGTTTAGGGTTTAGGGTTTAGGGTTTAGGGTTTAGGGTTTAGGGTTTAGGGCTCCCCAAAGTAAACCTCAAGACCCTGAACTTTCAACTCTCAGCCTGCAGTGGGAGGGAAGCTCAGAGGTCGGGTTCTCTGGGAGAAGCTTCCAGGATCGAGAGGCTCATTGGCTGCCAACGGCTTTAGAGATTTGGGGGTTTTGGAAAAATTGGGGGGGGTTTTGCAGGGTTTTTGGGGTTTTTCGCGCGGTTTTGGGGGTTTTGGGGGTTTGGGGGTTTTGGGGGTTTGGGGGGGTGTTTCGGGGCTTTGGGATTCTTGAGTTTTGGGGTTTGGGTGCTTTGGGGTTTTATCGTTTTGGGGTTCGTTTCAATTTCCTCGACCCCTCGTAAGTTAAGAACCCCTTGGTAGAACAAAGAAAGACCTAAACCCTAAACGGCCCAAAATTCTAAACCCTAACCCTAACCCCAAACCCTAAACCCTGGTCACGTGGGAAACCTATAGACAGCGTAACCCTGCAAGGGAAATGCTCCTCGTCCTGGGAGCTTGCTTCCTGTGTAGTTATATAGTTTGTCTGAAGGGAGCGACTTGGGATGTCAGAAGTGAAGAATCTTCTGTATGGCCTGTCCTGAGAGCTTCAGAACCCGACTTTGAAAAACTCGCCCCAAGACAAGTAAAAGGGTTTAGGGTTTAGGCCGAAGCCTCAACCTTCAAACTCTCAAGCCCCCTTCTATAACCCCGTACAGCCCGGCCTCAGAACGCTGAGCCCCAAAAACCGCCTAAACCCCTCCAACCCCCTAAAACCCCCTAAAGCCCCCTCCCCCTAGAGCCCTACAAACCCTGAACCCTTAAGTATGCTTCGGCTTGGCAGATCCGCCGCCCCTGCTGAAGTCTCCCAGGGAGCCAGAGTTGGGAGCTCGATTGGGGGTTTATGGGCTTACGGGCTGAAAAGGGCTCATGAGGCTTTGTAGGGTATAGGGTGTAGGGTTTAGGGTTTAGGGTTCAGGGCTGGTGGGCTGCATCTGTCTTAGGGGTTTGAGTGTCGATGAGGTTCAGCCTCAATAATATGCCTTCGGTTTTGACTCTAAAGATCTTCCGGCTCCTGATTTTAGGGTTCCCCCCCCAATTTCCCCCCTCAAACCTGACACTTGAGAATGTGCAAAGAACCCCGTGCTCCAAAGCAGGGTTCAGGCTTGGGGGTTCGGGTTTCGAAGAAAGAACGACGAACAGCCCAAGGTGCCCTGAGAGGATACAGCAGAAGAGGGAGGCCAGTGCCGGGTTTGAGGGTTTGGGCAGACTTCAGACCTGCTAAACTCTACTTAATTTTAATCTGGGGTTTGCAAAGGGTTTGGGAACCTACTTGCAAAGGAATTATAGGGCTCCAACAGGGAGTTAGAGCTGGTGTTATGAGCTTTCCTCGACTCGGTGAGGTGGGGAGGGGACGGGGGCTGGGAGGGGGCCATGTGGGCTTCTCTGCCAGGCCCAAAGGACATAAATATCCCTAAGCCCTACACCCCAAACCCTACACCGTAAAGTATCATGACTCGTGTTTTGGGGAGAGCTACAGGCCCGACGTTATGAAAACCGCCGCCCCGAAGTGCGCGAGCACCCTGTGATAGACCGGAAATCAGGCGTCAGGGTGAAAGGTTTAGGGGGTTCCAGGTTAGGGCGTAGGGTTTAGGGTTTAGGGTTTAGCGTTTAGGGTTTAGGGTGGGCATGTTGTTCAACCTGTAAGGTTTGGGCTTTGAGGTTTGGGTTTGGGATTTCTGGAAGGTTTGGGGTTTAGGTTTTGGGCTTTAGGGTTCACTGGTTTGGGGTTTAAAGTTTAGGGCCTAGAGCTTTGAACTTGTTTCTTCTGTATACGTCTATTGAAGTTCCGGCGCTTCCAAGGTACCAAAAAAATCCTATAAAAGAAGCAGCTGATAAAGGAATGAAGCTAGAAGATGGTAAAATTGATAGCAAGTTCTATATGAGAATTGGCATATTCGTAAAAGCGTGGGGGCGAGCTCAATAATAGCGAATGAGCCATATTGCTCGTGAACATGAATGAGACAGAACAAGATCGTAGAACTACTCTTGCACATTCTATAGTGGGCATTCGTATTCTCATTTCTCTTTCTCATATTCATAGTTGGCAGGGCGTTTCCACAAGCACACTCGTGAAGCCCTAAAGTCTAGACAAGCCCGATTTGCATCAGAATGCGGAAGGACCAGGCGAAGAGAGTTGAGCACTTTCTTCGCAAAGTCCGTCCTGGAAAAGAACCTGAGGCCTGCCCTTCGAGGGTTTTTGGTTCAGGGATCATAAGGTGCCGGGATGGGACGTGTGGGTTTGAATAGGTCTGGATTGAAGAGCTTTCTCGCCAGCATTCGTTCGGGCTTCTGGGCTGTCGGACTCGAGGTTACGCTTTGGATTCTCTGCCCCCCGCCCCCGCCTTTCAACCAACCCTTTTCAGTCCCAAGAAAATCACAGCACCCCACAATGCTCGCCCCTCAAGTCCCCCAAGGAGTCCGCCTGTTAGGGTTGAGGGTGAGGGAGTATCATAAGCCATGATGATGGGCACATGGGATCCATGTAGGTCAGAAACCCTAAAACCTGAGAGCCCTTGTCTGCCCAGAGAGCAATAGTCCTTAACCAAGGAGTCTTCCGTATGGTCCGATAGGATTCCTAGTATGGTCTAACGTGGGCAAGTAATCTCCCTGAATTTCCATGGGGATCCGAAGGTGTATTTGGGTTTCCTGGGAAGACGGTGCGATCCCCCGCCCTTGATCGCGCATTTGTCTTGGGCAGTCGCCGCTGATCGCTGCAGCCCAAAGACGTCTCGAGAGGCCCAAGTTCTGTTGATGCGAGGATTGCTGCAATGTTCCCTAAACCCCCCTAAAGCCTGAACCCAAACCCTCTGAACCTTAGCCGGACGCCACTTTGCTCGAACAGAGCATCAGGTCTTGGGGCTTCGGCTTCATCCCTCCATGAAAACTAGACCCCAGACCCTGAAGAACTCGTTTAGGGTTTAGGGTTTAGGGTTTAGGGTTTAGGGTTTAGGGTTAAGGGTTTATAGGGTTTAGGGTTTAGGGTTTAGGGTTTAGGGCATATACGGTTTAGGGTTTAACCCTCGAAGCTTCAACTCCACGCCGAAAAACAGCCGAAGCTGACATCCGCATAGAGTTTGGGCCTCATAGGGTTTGGAGGGGTTCGTTGCAGTGCTAAAACTGCAGGGTGGCGCTGGCAACTCTACGTCGAATGCCCCATAGCCCGCAACCCACGACACCCTGACCCGAACCCCCAAAACCTGAAAGCCCCAAGGAACTACAACCTGCACCTCAATTCCCAACAGCCCTGGAACCCCAAGCCCTAGAAGCCAAAACCATTCTCAACCCTGAACCCCAACCCCCCGCAGTCCC